TCCTAGTACCCAGAAGTTCAGTATTAGACATATGTTTGCATAATTTAAAATGTGCTGTATTCTGAGGTTCGTAATGATCTGATTTTTAAAACAGCTTATTTTCAGGAACTCCAGTCACACTAGATACCTGTGTTCTTGTGTTGGACTCACTGCACCACAAGGAACATGGCAGGAAAGGATATTACGCATATAAATGACTGCTTCCTTTTGGAAACCTGTTCAGTTGTTGGGCCTCAATGACTTTGAGAAGGAATGATGTCACCGATTTAAATGAACATTGCTTGAAAAAGTATTTTCTTTTCTGAACATCACTGTATTTCCCACCTAGAATTTCATCCTCTTTTTCATATGAGCTCCTCTGATCTAGTTTCTTTCTATTTTGCATTATTTTGTATTCTGCTACCACCCTTTTCTTGTCTACCTCTCTCTCTTAATCTCTTTCCAGATTAAATTTTTTCCAGGTCCTTCTCAAATTCTCAAAATTCCTTGGCTTTTTTGAAGTGTCTTCTAGTTGTACACCATCATTTTAGAGATGCGTTGGCCACTACTACACACAGTGCTCCAGATAAGACAGCACCATTTATTTAAATAAACCAAGTATTATATTAAAAACTGTTCACCTTGTCATCTGTTATGGATTATTTCTGGAAATGCTTAAAACATTTTAAACAGCTTGTCTGAACAATGTTAATAACTTATTTTTAAAACTGGGATACTCTGAAAAAAATCAGGCTTTTTACTTTTCAAAATACTGTGTATATTCTTGTTTAGTGTATAAACAAGAATAGTTATATTCTTGTGTGCTCAGTAGAACGGTAGATGTTTAGCAAGAACAATTTGGCTTTTGTTAATCTGTATTGCATAACCATGATTAAAGTAAAAACTTATCTCTTTAAGTATTTTTTAATTAAAACATTACTATTCATGTCAGCTTTCATAAAACCATTATACTTTACATCCATGAGTGTATAATCAGGCACAGACTTTTAAACAGGGTCATTTTAACATTTCTTCTTCTGGCAGAAATTCCACTTATAATAATGAGAATGTTCAGTACAGTGAACAAATACACATTTTTTTCCCTAC